TAAAAGTTAAGAAAAGTTTGGTAAGAACTGATCATAATATGATTATTGCATACTCGAGAAACATTATAAAAGCAAAAAGAACAAATTCATTCTTTAGGGATGTAAGAGAACATAGAAAATTAAACATGCTAAGAGAACTAGAGAATGTGGACTGGTCCAAGATAACAATATATGACCAAGCCCCTGATGAAATGGTGAAACAACTTTATGAAAGTCTCTGGCCGAGATTTGAGAACAATTTTCCACTGATAAAAGTCCGAACCTCGTCACGCGATCCACCATTTATGTCCCCTCTCGTAATTATTTGTTGAAAAAAAGGAAGAAAGCTATAGGCGTAGGTGATGAAGAATCTACTTTTCGTTTACAAAATCAAATTAACACACTAATTCGCGCCAATCAACTTAATGCTGTTCAAAATGAGAACCAAAATCATAAAACTGGAACAAAGAAATGGTGGAATAATGTTAATAACATTACTGGCAGGAAAGAGAAAAATTCTGCACCTGTTAGCTCTCTGATTGATCCGAATGTTATAAATGCCTACTTTCAAACTATTAACACTGACCCTAATTATTCAGCCCCTCAGTTACTACAAATTCCAGAGGGAACTAGAATTCCATTTCTTTCTGTCGATATTGTCTATAACTTTCTAAGAAAACAGAAGCGTTCATCATCTGGCCCGGACGATCTACCACATTCGCAGCTGAATTAGCTCCAGCTATAACAAAAATATTTAACGTATCTCTGAAAGTTGGAAAAGTCCCTGAAATATGGAAGAGAGCGAATATAGTTCCAATACCAAAAGAAAATGTTATCAACTCAAGTTCTGAACTGAGACCTATCTCACTAACAGACATCATAATGAGGTTATTTGAGAGATGTATATACAAAAATGAGATCGCAGATGTTATATGTCACTCAATCGATTCTGACCAATACGCATATAAAGTGGGACATAACTCAACGATGGCTTTAGTTAAATGTCAACATACGTGGTTGAAAGGGTTGGATAATGGTGTGAAATATGTGAGAGTACTATCATTTGACTTTAGCAAGGCTTTTGACAGCGTTCCACACGACATACTATTTGGAAAAGTTAAGAAATTGCCTTTTAACCCGTACATCATAAATTGGATGATAGATTTCTTAAAAGATCGCAAACAGAGAGTAACAGTTGATGGCATCACAACCGAGTTCTTGAAAATTAATCGTGGCGTGCCTCAGGGGACTGTTCTAGGCCCGATACTATTTTCAATAATGGTAAATGACATTAAACCAGTCAATCCAATCAATGCGGAACTCTGTAAATTCGCTGATGATATAACAATAGAAGCCCCGGGCTATGATGAGGATGATACAGGTGCTGAAGAGGTAGAAAATATGAAATTATGGTCGGATGAAAATCGAATGGTGCTGAATATGAATAAAACATACGAAATGATTGTTCGTGGGAGAACATCTATACCTCTACCCAGTTGCATTCCGTCCATCAAACGGAAAACATGGCTCAAGATACTTGGAATTACCCTTGAGGAAATACCGGAAAATTGGGACATACACTTCGAAGAGATGCTTAAAAAAGCGAGTGGTCGAATGTACATTTTACGGGTGTGTAAATATTATGGTTTTACAACAAAGCAGTTAGAACTTCTCTTTCAGAGTTTAATAATGTCATTATTCACTTTCGGAACTGAACTTTGGGGAGGAGCATCTTACACTAAATACATTAGTCAGATTGATAAGTTTATAAATCGTGCATACCGTAATGGGTATGTAACAGAGAAATCTAATTTTAGAGAAATAATTAATAAGAGAGACAAGAGATTATGGAAAAAAATATTAGATGATGAAAATAATGCACTAAGAGAACTTTTACCAAATAAATTAGATCGAACGTTAAGGCAAAGGGGACATGACTTTGAGCTGCCCTTAGTAAGAACTGAAAGATTTAAAAAATCTTTTGTAAATAGATGTCTTTTCAATTTTATCTAGTGTATGATACATTTTAATAATTTTTAACAATATTGTAGAATTTTACTAGTTTTATTAAATTATTGATGTAAATAATTAATGTAAAATAGACTATATTCTTATAATTCCATGTAAACTCGGACTTGTGTTCCGAGTATTGATTAATAAAGACTATTATTATTATTATTATTATTATTATATATGGAAGCATGGTTTCCTCGCGCTTCAAACGATTGAACAATTGGATGATCCTACCCTCTTATTATTAGTGAAAATCACCGACGTAATATTTCGTGTGAACCGCGAAACGGCGAAAGCTTGGGTTCTAATGTAAATACATATGGCGGATTTTGAAAATATAGAGCATTTGCATATATGGAAATGTTTTATGGATACAGAAGCAAGATATTGAACAGTTCAGGTGCCGTACACTTTATTTTAACTGCTATTTAGATAGAATACTATTGTTGTCGAATTGAATTTGTCCTAAAGCCCGTGGTGTAATAATATAAAATGGAAACTTTCTTTAGTAAAGGCTGTTTTCCACTTCGCCTGTATCGTAACGTAACGTACCGGTGAGCATGCGCAGCTTGAAGATGGGTTTTCAAATTTACGTACTTCCGGTTGATTCGCGTATCAAAATAAAAAGTTCGTCGCTAGTCAACTTTTTAGCGTAGTACGGAAGTATTAACCAATCAACATTCACTAAATTTTGACATTTAAAATTTGTTTTGATATGTGCCGGTACGTTACGCTTGAAATGGAAAACGGCCTTTATTCTGTCAAAAATAACATGCACCAAGCACGAATCTTTATAACAGGGTGATTTTAGTTCGGTTCAGAATTATCTCACGACCATTGTGAGAGATTTTTGCTACACTGGAACTCGATTCGTTCTGATAGTACAATAAATACAATATGTTTTCGAATCACCCCACCGACACCGTACGTTCTCGAATAGTTTTAGTAATTTTACACTTTCTCGAAAAACAAAAAGGAACCTAATTATGCCCTAAGGCATGTTCTGTACTAACAGTAATAAAGTTAATTATCGACAGGAGAACCTTTAAAATTTTGACAACAAATGCCAAAAATTTAGTATTCTGGAAAAGTGAAAATGTTTAATAAAAAACTAATATTTCCCATTTTCGACCCTTAAATTTCGACTTTTGACCCTCGACTTCTGACCCTCGACCTCGACTTTTGACCCTCGACCTCGACATTCGAACCTCGACATTCGAACCTCGACCTATGACCCTCGACACTCGACCATTACCCAAACTCGATCAAATATGGTCATAATTTCGCTATAGCATATTCGTTTCTATCCATTACTCATTATTCAGAATATACAAACACCCATTGGAACCCAACTATAAAATATTATACTAATTCTTAATTTGCAATTAAGTAATATTATAAAACAAATTTATATGTATCAATGGACCAATCCCCAATTAACCAAAATTTTGAACTCAACAAGTCTAGACAAAAATTTCACCACAGCTTGAAGAGCATCACAAAATTAGTAATATTCCAAAGTTTCGTTGCAAAATGTTGTAAAATGCGGATAATATAGCCTTCCCTAAACGGGAAATGGTTACCACTTCTGTGCGTAATACAAAATGACTGAAAATTACAAACCTCGCAAGGCTATATTATCCGCATTTTATAACATTTTGCAACGAAACTTTGGAATATTACTAATTTTGTGATGCTCTGTGCTGGAGAAGTTAATGCACACTTACCACAAATAAATTTAAAATAAAAGTTTAATAAAACATAAAAGTTTCTCACAAATGATCGCTGTAAAATACTCGCTTCCTCGCTCACATTTCTCTCGTTTCCCTAGTCCCCTAATTTCCTTAGTTGGGGGTGTGGCACAGGCTTGTCCATTTGGCTCACACTCCCCCTGAAATTGTCAATTTTTACCCTTACTGTAACAATAACAATATGAACGCAACTATACATGTTTCTACAGTTCAATTGTCCTCTTCTTCCTCTAACTGCAACCGGACTCGTTGATTCTCAGAGACCGTTTCGTTCTGCTTTGCTCCACGACACTTTCTGCGACTTTAAGTTCCAATGGACAGACTAATTGTAAAGGTAGCCCGCGTGCAGGCCCAAGGGAAAAATAGTGGGCCTGCAAGCAAAGCCCGGTATTTTGTAAAACGCCCCTTTCCATAACACGCCCCATTCGCACGTCAATTGTCAAAAAGAACCAATGACAGCAACCCAAATAGTAACAAACAAACTCGCATTAAAATGTTGCGGGGTTTTCTCTGCTATATTCAAAATAGAAACAGTGTGTAAATGGCTGTGTTTTAACTCCAAAAAAGCAAGCAACGCAGTCAGTAATTGCCAAATTTATCGAAACAGGTAAATTAGGACGAATGTCAACAGAAAACCAGTCTCAAACTTCAAATCGCGAGGGAATTCGTGCTTCGCTGGCGCCATTGTTAAAAAAATTGTCTCACTTAATATCAGATCGTGTGTGCAATTCTTGTTGGCGGCGGAAAGTACGAAATTTATTTCAGTTATTTCATTTGGTAAAGAACTCTACAAAAGAAGAGAGCGTTCAGAGTCCAGATCGTTTCGTTTCAAACGGCAATTACCGTCTTCTGTTTCGCTCTCTTGAAACTATATAGCCTTGAAACTATATAGGTAACATGGCGCGGACGAGCGAAGTATCTTGAGTTTGTGGGAGAATTTTATCTGAAGATGACCTAATGTGTAATAATGAAACAGTTGGTGGTTTGCCCCAGGGGAAGGGGGTATCGGGCGTACACACGGGATTTGTCATTTATCATGGAATTTTTGTCAATTTTCCCATTGTATAGGGCAAACTTTTTTGGTCAAAGTACTGTATGTCAACTGTTCTGCCTCAGGGGGCAGTTACCCGGCCATTGGAAACTGACCAAGCGAAGCACCTCAGAAGTAGCAGAATAGGAAAAAGAACTTTCCATACGATTTCCATCATTCTTCTAATCCATAAAAAAATTCATTTGACTTCAAAAATGTCATAAAATATGGACATTTTCAAAGGTGGAATCCAATCTCGTGACCAGAGCCATAGCTCCATAGGTATACCTGATACTCTCCTCCCCGCCCTTGTGCAAACCACTGACTGGTGAGTAATTGCGACATGGCTTGTTACAGTTGTGGAAGAAACAAGGGGGATCTGAGAACCTCTCTCAGAAAATGTTTACATTTTAAAGTTCCGATCCAGGCCTCATTTCTGGCTTTCCCCAAGCACATCCTAGTAAATCCATTACTGTATATTTGTTTATTGTAACTCGTTTTTGCTCATTTCTAGATACATCTCCTGCTCCAGAATGGGCTACAAACACAGGTAAGCAACCCGAAGAGCAGCCCGAATCAAATCAAATACTAAATCAGATCACATGAAGTTAGTCATCTATAAGCCTGGTGTTAATGGCTGCGCCGGCATGGTCTAAGTTCCATTCGAAAACTTGCTATCTGCACAAAAATAAAATCTACAGGCATGAGCTACAGAAAGCCCCTGAGTAATAAGGCTTTTTAGGTTTTTGGAGTTAAACTCCGAAGGCCGACTGTACAAACGCCAGATAGCCCTATTGTCCATTGACTGGTATAACTTACATTAAACTTTAGTATATAAAAATTCAGGTATCGCAAAACTGAGACTGTGTATCCAGGCTAATAATCATCTTTCCACACAGATTGTCTTTACTTAAACGGCAGCAGTTACCACGGCAACATATCTGTGACAGCCTCAGATATTCCGTGTCAATCATGGACAGAGCAATGTCCACATCGTCATACCATGAACGATACATATCCAGAACTGAATAACGCTAAGAATTATTGTCGAAATCCTCAGAACTCAGGACAACGACCTTGGTGTTTTACTACAGATAGGAACAAGAGATGGGAGTACTGTGATATCCCTAAATGTATATCAGGTATGCGGTAATATTGTACTATGATAACCCTAGATGAATACCATCAGAGTTGATGAGAATTTTTTCCCGTTTGACCGGTAATATTAGTCAACTCTCATCATGCAAACTCTCACTTGTCAACTCTCATCAACTCTTATCCTCGTTTGACTGGGACATGAAACATGTAATACTTTTCTGTCTTGTTTAGTTGATGGTAATTACAGTAACTGGTCATTAAACAGTACGTGCAATGTAAGTTGTGGTGAAGGTTTTGAAACATGGACACGAGAATGTAACAACCCTGAACCAAAGTATGGTGGAAGAAACTGCAGTCATTTAGGAGAACCTGTTGAGTACAGACCATGTTTGGCAAAGCCTTGCCCTGGTAAGTGAAATCAATTTTTTTATTAAATACTCAAATAAAAGGCGACATTCTTTGCAGGGTTGGAGCACTCTCCTCCGAAGAGGTTACTTTGGGCAAGATTGGGCAGAGGCGGATCTACCGGGGGAGCTTATTTTCAAATCATCGGGGAGATTATTCCAGAAAACGGCGCCACGGTAGCCAAAACACCTCTTGCCGGCTTCCGTCCTGGGTCGACGCGATAGTGTTGTTTAAGCTGTTGAACGCATGGAATGGAACAAAAGTAACTTTGCATTAGAATTATGCTAATGTTTTATATTCATATCTTTAGTTGACGGTGGTTACAGCAACTGGACTTTGAGTAAGCCATGCAGTGTTTCATGTGGTGATGGAGTGGAAATATGGCGACGTTTTTGTATTAATCCTGAACCAAAATACGGCGGTCATAACTGTAGTGGTCTTGGAAACTCGGCTCAGTTTAGAAAGTTAAACTGTAGCAGAAAACCATGTCCAAGTTAGTACTTGAAAACTAACTTTATTTATATGCTAAGAGGGTGCCGTAAGAGTAATCCATTATTGCTCCAGTATTATTACAGAAGGAAACCTAAACTAAACTAACTTTATTTATACGAGATAGCTCTATTAATTCTAAACTCTTCTTCCTAGAGGTTCACTAAGGATCATCTGTTGTTGATCCAGCGTTACTAAAGGAGGAAATGTAGGAAAGTTTACATTATACTATTAAGACGCGCGGAGACCGAAAGAGGACTCGGACAATAAGGGATGGGCCGGGGGAAAAAATACGACAGCTAGAAAAACAACATTTGGAGTGAAAAAAACCCCTGTTATTTTGAGGACTTTCTGTAATGGTTTTAGTAGATAAATAGATTTAAAACAAAAAAATTCTTCGAGTGTTATTTGTTGGGGATTCTTGAAGCCTTTCTCCGACAAAAGTGGCACCTACCGACGAGATTTCCGTATAATATATCAAAGCGAAAGTAAACATATCAAAGCGAAAGTAAATATATTTTACGGCGACTGAGATGGCGACGCTCGAAGGGTTATTAAAGTCGATCGAAAACAAAATACGAATGCTGGAGTTCACAAGCGAAGATATTCCGAGCGTACTAGACAAGAAACACGTTCTTACGATGGAAAGAAAACTAAAAACTTTAAACAACAAACTACAGGAAGTCCATGACCTTGAAGTTCAAGCACAAGAAGCGAAAATAGAAAAGGACGAAAACCCAAACGAGATACGAAAATGGAGCGCAGAGATTGAAGGCGAGGTAGCGAAATTCGAGCAAAGCGTGCAAGAATTACAAGAAGCAATTAAACGAGCAAACCAGACCGAGCAAACGAAAATGCAAGAGCAAGAATTCGCGACGAAGCTACGAGAACAACAATTCGAACAGCAAATGAAATTCGAACAGGCTAAATTACAACAAAAACTACAATTCGAGAAATCACAATTAGAGTCTTCAAAAAAGCAAGACCACGACTAGGACATGCTGGGGAACCGGTTGCTGAATTGACCAGTCTTGGCTGGACGATAATGTCTCCGGGAAAAGAAGCAGACTTATCCAACATGTTCATGACCCAGACATCGAGTTGCGACTACGAAATGTTGTGCAGAATGGACGTCCTAGGACTGGAAGATCGTCCAACAGGAGATCAACACAGCGTGTATGAAGATTTCAAAGAGCAGTTGGCGAGGAATACGGAGGGCTGGTACGAAACGGGCCTCCCTTGGAAAGCAAATCATCCCCCGTTTCCAAACAATGAGCGTGGCAGTGTTTAGACGACTTGGAAATCTAGTAAAGAGATTAGAGAAGCAGCCCGAATTGATGACCAAGTACGATGAAGTCATTCAAGATCAGATCGACCAGGGGATTGTGGAGAAAGTCACTCCATCCAGTGTCTCAGCGAATAACGAGTTTTACATCCCACATAAGCCGGTGGTGCGCGAGACAGCCGAAAGCTCGAAAGTTCGGGTCGTCTACGATGCCTCGGCTAAGGCATATGAGAAGGCACCCTCCCTCGACGACTGTCTGGAGACGGGACCACCCCTACAGAATCTTTTGTGGAGTGTCTTGACCCGAAATCGGTTTTATCCTGTTGCAGTCGCTGGTGATCTGAAACAAGCGTTTTTTCAAGTGCGAGTGAAAGAAGAGCGAAATGCACTGAAATTTCATTGGTTGAAGGATACGGACACGAAAGAAATCGAAACTTTGAGATTCACTAGAGTTCCATTTGGCTTAACATCATCACCATTCCTACTCGGTGGAGTAATCGAACAGCATCTCGAAAATTGTAAATCAGAGAATCCAGAGATCGTAGAAGAGATCAAACGAAGTTTGTACGTCGATGATCTAATTGGCGGTGGAGAAACGACGAGCAAAGCCCAAAACCTGAAAGTCAGCCATATCGATCCTCGGCGAAGCTTGCTTTGAATTGCACAAGTGGCATTCTAATGAACCAATCTTGGAAACGGACAATCAGCCGTCGAGTGAACCTGAACGAAGCTACGCGAAAGAACAACTGGGCGTTGAGAAAGGCGAGACAAAATTGCTCGGACTAGCATGGGACAAGCGTAGAGATACAATCGGAGTAACATTTCCTGATGTTGAACCTGCCGCACCAACAAAACGAAGCATCCTAGGAGCGATCGCGAAGATCTATGACCCACTCGGTCTTGTTTCGCCGGTGACTTTGGCTGGGAAAACGTTGTACAGAGAAGCTTGTAACCTGCGTATTGGTTGGGATAAACCACTACCTGACAGCCTGAATGCTAAGTGGAGCTGTTGGGTGTAAAGCCTGCCTCAAAAGGTCCAAGTCCCGAGAAGTCTAACAGCCAACCAAGAAGATATCAAGGCGATCGATCTTCATGCTTTTGGAGATGCGAGCAAAAAAGGAGTTTCTACAGTTGTGTATGCCGTGGTCTACCAAGAGTCGTGCGTCAACCAAGGACTGATAACGTCGAAATCACGCTTGGCAAAGAAAGAATAAAGACGAGTGGTCGCAGAACATTGTTACGACTCCTAGTCCAGAGTCAGAGTCCGAAGGCAAAACGGTGCGCGAAGTGTTAGCGGTGGCAGTCGAACCGAGAGATGAACTGGATCAAGTGATGGAGAAGTACGAGCTCTGGAAAGCGGTACGAATAACAACATGGGTAGTAAGATTTATCAACAACTGCCGGGCGAAGCGTCTAGCGAGGAAGAAAGGACCAATATCAACAGAGGAAACCGAAGAGCAAGTTAATTTCTGGATCAGGAGAACGCAGGCGAGATATGAAGGGACCGTCGAATTCCAAGAAGAACAGTTGAGACTCAACCTTCAGAAGAATGGACGAGGTGTGCACGAGTGTCGTGGACGTATTCAGGGACATTACCCAACATTCCTGCCTGACAAGTCCACGCTAGCCGCAAAGATTGTGATGAATGCCCACGCACAGACTCTCCATGGGCGAGTTCACAATGACATCGGTGAGAGAAAATTATTGGATTCCACGGCACGATTATGCCGGCCCGATATTGTATCGCACAACGAAAAACCACGAGAAGAAATCCTATATCCTGCTGTGTGCATGCAGTTTAACAAGAAGTATCTACTTGGAGTTGGTACCAAACTTGACCACAGAAGAATGCATCCGAAGCCTCAAACGGTTAATTGCGAAACGCGGTCGTCCGGATAAAATCTATTCCGACAACGGGAAGACGTTCGTCGCCGCAGCGAAATGGTTGAGGAAGGCTATGAAGGATGAACAACTTCATGATTGGCTTGGAAAAATGAAGATCGTCTGGCAATTCAACCTCAGTCGGGCCCAATGGTGGTGCGGCCAATTCGAACGGATGGTCGGTTTAGTGAAGCAGGCGTTGTATAAGACGACGGGGAAGTCGAAGTTGACCTGGAACGAATTGGAAGAAGTGCTGCTGGATATCGAGATTACACTAAATAACCGACCGCTGAGTTATGTTCAGGATGATATACAATTACCAATCTTAACGCCCCAGACCATGACGATTGGACGACCCAACTTAATTCCGGAGTCAGAAAGCCTAGACTCTCAGAAGACGATGCTGACCTGAGACTAAG